GAATGTCAACCTTAACACAATAGTCATTGACATGTTCAACAATACTTACCTATGTGTATCATGTGCAAGATAGGAAGATGCTTTTTTTCTTTTTCTGTGGTACTGGAGATTGAATTCAGGGTCAAACACTTGCTAGAGAGACCTACTACCACTTGAGTCACACCTCCAGCCCTACTATGTGCAAGACATATTTTGCTAAACACTTTAAGGCATAATTAAAACACCTACCATTGTTTTAATAATGTAAAACCTTCACATGTATTTATTAATCTCAATGATCCTATTTGGTTGTATTACTATTGACCCCACTTTACATATAAGAAAAAGAATCTTAGAGAATTTATCTGATTCGGGGAGTGTAGCTTACTGGTGGATCACTTGCCCAGCATGTGCAAGGCCTGGGTTCAATCTCCAGTACCACAGAAAAGACAAAAAAAAAAAAAAAGACAGTGAGTGCAATGGCTCACAGCCTTCATCCTAGCCACCCAGGAAGATCATGGTTTGAGAACAGTGGGGGTGGGGAGGTAAGGATGGGGGAATGGGTCTGAAGACCCCATCTCAACCAATAAAAAAGCTGGGTGTGGCTGCACACTCCTGTCATTCCTGCTACACTAGAAACAAACATAGGAGGATCGTGGTCCTGGCTGGCTAAGGCATAACTCAAGACAGTAATGGAAAAATAACTAAAGCAAAAAGGGCTGGGGGCAGGGCTCAAATGGTAGAGTGCCTGGAGAGGGGAAGAGGGGTGAAAGGGAAGGGAGACAAGGAGGGAAGGGAGAGAGGAAAGGAAGGAGGGAGAGAGAAAGAGACAGAGACAGAGGTGGATATTGATTCCCAGACTTATTTTTCCTCCTAACACATACCCTTCCCAGTGCTACAGGTACATGTTTATGATTTATCTTTCTCTATAGAATGTAAGCTCTCTGAAGACAAGAGGTTTTCCTCTGTGATTTACCACCATATCCCTGAACACCCAAATAGCACAATAGTACACGGACAGACTTAACAGTAGTGAAGTGATGACTGAAAACTCTTTCCTTAGGTACTTTCTCCCATCCAATTCAAACAAGAGCACCTGCCTAGCAAGCATCAGGCCCTGACTTCAAACCCCAGTACCACCAAAAATAATAATTAACAATGAAAGAGATGGGGAGAGGTGAATTTGTTCAAAGTACACCATATGCATTCACTCAATTATTGCAATGAAACCCCTTGTCCTATTAAGAGATGGTAAGTAAAACAAGCTCTGTTATAATTGCTGAGTCATTAGAAGCCAATAAAGTTTGGTACCAAGGCATCATCACTTTCCAATGAAGTATTTCAAAAGGACAGACTATAGAGGATGTGCTTATCCCTAGATTTAAATTGAACACTATGAAAATACTATGTTAAAAATACCAGAGATAAAAGATGAATGTGACATGGTTCTTAATTCTAAGTAGCTAACAGCCTGGTGAGGTCACACCCATTCCTCAAGTCCATGTTCAATTAAAGAGATCCCATCTTCAGCCTTGCTTTTTACTCTGGAAAAGATGCTTCTTGTTCTGCATACTGTGAAATCCTTTCTCCTCACGAAAACGTTTGTTTTAATATTAACTCCCTCCTTTCACAGACATGGAAACGAATGATCCGCAAAATTACTGTCACAGAAGGATTCAAGTCAGGGTAACTGAGGGCCTCTGACTCCGAATGCAGTGCTTTTCTTTCTTTTACTCATTCATTTATCCAACGCATGTTTACTGAACATCACTATGTAATAGGCGCTGGAGATGCAATAGTTGTTTACTCCTGTCTGAACATGACACCAAAGTGTCAACTGCTGTTAAGACCCAAACAATTTACTTCACCTCCCTACTCTTCGGGCTCGCTATCTGTAAAACGTGGTTCATATAACACCTATCTGTCATGGTGCACACTGCCTGGCGCTGGTGAGTCGCAGAAAAAGCCAGTAAAACATATCATCACAGACAAGTCAAAGAGGAGAATGCTTCTGTTTAGAGTGAGAACCGGAGCCAAGAAGGCTAAGTCAACCCCAGGAAAGGCCCGGCCTTCACCAGTCCGCGACTCCACCGTCCAGAACACTCTCTGGCCACACTCGCGGTCTCGCTCCACACTTGGGACAACCGCCCCTCTTTCGATGCTCGGGGACATCTCAGCAGCCATTAGTGGGAGACACGAACACACACCCCCTGCCCCCGCTGCCCCGAAGGCCGGACAGGAGGAACTGGCCAACGGTCCGGGCCCGGCGACCTACTGCCTCCGCCCGATGGGAGAGGAGGCTTGGGCGGGGTCGCCCCGGAGCCACTAGTCCTCATTCTGTGTTCACCTCACTGTAGAAGGTCATAAACGCTTCCTCAGTGCTGCCTCCGCCGCCCGAAGCCCCGCTGTCTCCCGAAGCCGCCATTTCCCCGGCTCAGCCACCACGTGACCCTCCTGCGCATGCGCCGCCTCACGTGACTCTAGCAAGCCCGCCTCTCGAGCCCCGCCTCCCCGGTCCAGCCACACTTAAAGTGCTAGCAGCGTCAAATCGAGGCCGTCGCAGGGCTGCAGGCACAATTGGGGAAGATTGAAGTTAGAGGCCTGCTGGGGCAAAAAGTTCGCCAGACCCTATCTCAACCAATAACGCTGGGTATGTGACGCCGCGCCAGTCATCGCTGTCTCAGCCTGATGGGGCAAAAAACCAACAGACTCTATTAAAAAAAATAACTAGAGGCGGACGACGGTGGCTCACGCCTATAGTATTAGCCAGCCGTAGCAAATAGTTTGCTACACTCTACCTCGAAAAAACTCATCACAAAAAAGGTCTAGTGGAGTGACTCAAGGTGTAGGCCCTGAGTTCAAGCCCCAGTACCACAAAAAAAAAAAAGAAGAAAAGAAATATACATAACATGGAATAAGTCATTCCATTGGCTTTTAGTTCATTGACAATAACCACTTCCTCTATCTGGTTCCAACATAACCACCTCAAAAGGAGACCTGGTCCCCATTAAGAAGTTACCCCCTTCCCCAGTCCCTGACAACAGCTAATGTGTTCTATCCAGAATTTTCTACTCTGTGTATTTTTCACAGATGGAATCATACAATATGTGACATTTTGTGTCTGGTTCCTTTCACAGCATATATTTTTGAGGTTTATCCAAACTGAAGCATGCATGAGAATTAATTCCATTTTATGGCTGGATCATATTCCACTATGGTATGTTTATACCATGATTTGTTTATCCATTCATCAAAACATTTGTGTATTTCTCCCTTTTGCTTGTGAACATGCATGTACATGTAGGTGAGTGCCTGTGAAACTATTGAGTCATATGATAATTCTATGTTTAATTTTTGAACCACTACCAAGCTCTTTTCCACAGGAGCTAATCATTTTAAATCCCCACTAGCAATGTATGCTGATTCCAGTTTCTCCACAACCAACATGTTCAAACGCCAACCCCGAAAGAAACACATCCACCAACAGTTATTTTTCTCTTTTTAAAATTATTTTATTTTTCTATGTTCCATTCTAGTACCTACATGGATCTTTTGTACAAGTTCAGCAAGATCTTCCACTGGATACTCCCAGCCTAAGAGATGATCAAGAAACAGCAGTATCTGAGGACTGGAAACAATTTCTGAAGCTGGAACAGCACTCAAGCCAGGGCCTGGTGGCCACATCTGTAATCCCTAGCTACTCAGAAGGCAGAGATCAGGAGGATCAAGGTTCAAAGCCAGCCCAGGCAAATAGTTCATGAGACCCTATATCGAAAAAACCCTTCACAAAAAAGGGCTGGTGGAATGACTCAAGATGTAGGCTGAATTCAAACCCTAGTATCAAAAAGAAAAAGAAGAAAAAAAAAAAAACTGCACTCGAGGAACATCTAGAAACACATCAAAGTATAACTAGTGATCTCATAAGAGAGATCATTTCCATCCTTCTGCTTTTGTGTTTTTCTGAGTTTTCTGCAATCAGCACCTGCTATTCCTCCCATGTAAGTCATACAAACCAGGGCTGGTATTTTCCCGACCAACAGATGAACAACCAAAACCAGTTCTATTTCATAGAAAATAGAGAAGGTATTTTTGTAAAGATTAAGATGGATAATTTGAACCAACCCTCTCCTAATTTAAAGGAAAAGCAACAACAGCCGAGAGAGAGAGAAAATGACATAAGGAAGGGCTGTAGATTTCATAAAGATAAAGGGTACTGTTGCCATGTTCACATTTATTAGGACGAAGGGAGGTCAAGGCAAAGCCTTCCTGAGACTCCCAGGTATGCACTTTTCCATTCCATCGCACATTACTAAAAATTCGGTTATCACGTCCATTAAGCAACACACTAGTACAGTTCACAAATATTAATTCATTACCTACCTGATTAAGTCAAGGCCCTGAGGACTTCACAAGGTGAAATGTGGAACGAGAACAGAACAGGGAGATATGATAGAATCACTGGTGATAGAATAACTAAGAAGGTCAGGGAAGAAGTCTCTAAGGTCAAATTTAAACTAAGGCTTAAGACTGAAATATCAATTCAACAAAAGAACGCAGACACCTCCTGAGAGATGAACGTAACTTTGTAAGTATGAATCGGGGCGTGTTGAAGGTCGGTATCTGGACGTCAGGATCCAAGGCGTGGCTCCCCCAACCCTTATGTTCCCCACCCAATTGATGCTACTAGACCAGAAAAGGGACGGTTTCCTTTGCGTTTTTAGTAATGTCGACATTAGAATTGGAATCGCGAGGTGGGGGTGAACGGCACGCCTAATTCTGACGGGTGCAAGATCTAACACTCATCTTCTTCTCCAACCTCCTGCATTAGGATTCTCCAGTCCTGTGGCACCTTAAACCCTTGGGAGCGGTTGGCTAAGAGTAGGCCCGCCTTCCTCTCCGGATTCGCTGTGGACTCCAGGAAACCCGCCTCCTCTCTATCCTGATTCGTTACCCCCATGTGATCCCGCCCTTGAGCCGAACAGATTGGCTGCTCAGCCATCCTGGGTTAGCAGGCACAGAAGCAGGCACAGAAGCAAGTACGGCAGCGTCTCGGAAGGTGCTGCGCTAGTAGCAATGGCTGGGACGGCGCTGGTGGCCCGGGCGCGGCTCGGCGTATGGAGCGTGAGGGCCATGCAAACCCGAAGTTTCGGCTCGGACCAGGTACGCTGCGGCAGCATGCGCTGCCCATCCCTGAAAGCGGATCCCATCTTCTCCTCTGTACCTTTACCAATGTCGGGTTCTCTGTACGCAGGCGGATAATATTGACCGGAGCGCGGGCTCCATCCGGGAAGCTGGTGGGGCCTTCGGAAAGAGAAGCAAGGCAGAAGAGGACCGGTACTTCCGGTGAGGCCCACATGGTCCGAAGTCCAGCCCTAGATCCCTCTTCCAATCCTTCTTAAGTTTTCAGTCGCCCCACCCATCCCTACCTGCCTTAGGACGCCCATCCCCCGGAAGAACTCCCAGGCCCCAAGCCTTTTAGCCCTTTGGTGGCCACACTTGGGCCCCGACCTTTAATGGTGTTCCTATTTCCCCGCCCAGCAGTAACACAACCCCCAAGCCAAACCATTTCCAGCGGGGCTCTCACTCCCCGGCTTTACTTGCTTATCATTTTGCATCTCCTCCCCCCACTCCGAGTCGTGCGAATCGCCCCCATACTCTTCACGCAACGTCTAGATGCAACCGTTCAATCCCTGCATACCCTCTGAGCCTGACTTCCCAGCCGTCATTCACCCAATTACCCCCTTTTTTTTCTCCTACGCGTCATTTCCCACAGCCTTCAGACCCGTCAGCCATTTGTAGACACCTCAAACACACACGTGTCTCCCACCTGCCAGCGTGAGTGGGTCATAGGAGCTGGTAGTACCTGCTCATGGTTGAACTCCACCCCCTCCTGGAGACTTTTGCCCTTCTCTGCTTGGTTCTGACTCTGTGCTGTAGATTTCTCCTTCCTGCTTTGAAGCAGGGAGTGAACTGGGCCTATCTAATTCTCTCTCCCAGCTCTGAATTATCTTCAGCTGACATTGACACTCGTCTACACTGGGGAGCAGCAAGGAACTGATCTTATCTGTTTTCCCTTTGGTCTGTGCCAAAAGAGAATTGTCATGGAGCTGGATGTTGTTGTTCTGTGGTAGTGTTTGCACAAGTCCCTGGGTTCCATCCTCAGTACTGAAAACAAAACAAAACTTTCATTATCCAGTGCCCATCATGACAGAGCAAGCATGTAATCCCAGCGTTAAGGAAGCTGAAGCAGGAGGATTTCCAGTTCAAGTCTGACCTAGGCTACAACTCAAAACCTTGTCTCAAAAAAAAAAGAAAAGAATTATCATGAGGCTGGGGTGTAGCTCAATGGGTGGAGTAAGTGCATGAGGCCCTAGGTTCAATTCCCAGGACAACAAAACAACTGTCACCTTGACTCCTGTCATGCCAGAGTGCCAGGGTATGGCAATTAGATACCATCTAATTGGGCCTTTAAGTTTTACAGTTAAGGAAACTGAGGCTTAAATGTTGCCAAACCAACATTTTGATCTAGTCCCTTTTTTAATTTGTTAATTGTACAAGGGATACATTGCAATATTTACATGTGTGCTTACAATATATCTTAGCTAGGTTTGCCGCCTCCATTTTCTCCCTCTCCCCCACTCCTCCCAGTCTAGTACCTTCTTGAGACTTAAGTAAACTACCAAATACTGCACATGCAAGAAATCCCTATTTTTATCCTTTACATTGGGCCATGCATTTCTCTAGACAAAGAAAACCTTATGCAGATTGGGAGAGGAGATGAATACTTATACCCTAACCATGTCTGTTTGTCTACTTCTTTTTGTTCACTTTTTCCCCAAAAAGGAACTGGTTCTCTGAGTTGTTCCTCTGATAAAGTATCAAGGCTAAGACAGGCACCAGTGGCTCATGCCTGTAATCCTAGCTACTCAGGAGGCAGAGATCAAGAAGGTTGCATTTAAAGCCAACCTAGACTCTATCTCAAAAATATGCCCAACACAAAATGGCTGGTGTAGTGGCTCAAGTGGTAAAGTGCCTGTCTAGCAAAGAGGCCTGGAGTTCAAACCCCAGTACCACCAAAAAAAAAAAAAAAAAAATCAAGGACTAATGTCATACTTTTCTGGAGTTTTCTACTTTAGAGAGGAATCTGAGGCCAGTACCCACGGCTCACGCCTGTAATCCTAGCTACTCAGGAGGCAGAGATCAGGAGGATTACAATTCAAAGCCAGCCCGGGGAAACAGTTCTTGAGACCCTATCTCAGAAATACCAGTTGCCACTCTGGAAAAAAATTTGGGGGCTACTTAAAAAGCTGGACATCAATCTACCATTTGATCCAGCAATACCACTCTTGGGGATATACCCAAAAGACTGTTACTCCAGAGGCACCTGCACATCCATGTTTATTGCGGCACTATTCACAATAGCCAAGTTATGGAAACAGCCAAGATGCCCCAGCACTGACGAATGGATTAAGAAAATGTGGTATCTATACACAATGGAATTTTATGCAGCCATGAAGAAGAACGAAATGTTATCATTCGCTGGTAAATGGATGGAATTGGAGAACATTATTCTGAGTGAGGTTAGCCTGGCCCAAAAGACCAAAAATCGTATGTTCTCCCTCATATGTGGACATTAGATCAAGGGCAAACACAACAAGGGGATTGGACTATGAGCACATGATAAAAGCGAGAGCACACAAGGGAGGGGTGAGGATAGGTAAGACACCTAAAAAACTAGCTAGCATTTGTTGCCCTTAAGCAGAGAAACTAAAGCAGATACCTTAAAAGCAACTGAGGCCAATAGGAAAGGGGACCAGGACTAGAGAAAAGGTGAGATCAAAAAGAATTAACCTAGAAGGTAACACCGCACAGGAAATCAATGTGAGTCAATGCCCCGTATAGCTATCCTTATCTCAACCAGCAAAACCCCTTGTTCCTTCCTATTATTGCTTATACTCTCTCTACAACAAAATTAGAGATAAGGGCAAAATAGTTTCTGCTGGGTATTGAGGGGGTGGGGGGAGAGGGAGGGGGCTGGAGTGGGTGGTAAGGGAGGGGGTGGGGGCAGGGGGGAGAAATGAACCAAGCCTTGTATGCACATATGAATAATAAAAGAAAAAATAAATAAAAAATAAATGCTCAAAAAAAAAAAATCCAGTTGCAAAAAGAGCTAGTAGAATGGCTTCTGGTGAAGGCCCTGAGTTCAAGCCCTAGTCCCACAAAAAAAAAAAAAAGTAAAGAAAAATGGGGGATTATTTCACTAGTGTGACTTGGGGACAGAAAGATGATGGTGAGCTGGACTCCTATGGGATTGGAACACCTGTTCTTTGCCTTAGGTGTTTCATGTTGGGCTTAGAGATCACTTTGGGGGTGAAGGATTGAAATAAACCCTGAGCCACTGTGTCCTTGTAGAGAGAAGACTAAAGAACAACTGTTAGCCTTGAAGAAACATCATGAAGATGAGATCGATGTTCATGAGGAAGAGATCAAACGTCTGCAGAAACAAATTGAGCGGCATAAGCAGAAGATCAAAAACCTAAAATATATTGATTAAATGCACGCAGTTCCCCATAGAATGGCACATACCATTGGCCACTTGTGTGTAGACAAAGTTCCTGTTCAATTAATACTTGGTCTGTGTGCTACTAACATAATAAATTGTTATCAGAGAAATGAATCTGATGCCTTCTAGTAACTACAGGGTGGTTGTCTGTTAAAATGAACTAGACCGGTGACTGGGAGAGTGAATATAATCAAAGTATATTTTGTATGCATGTGTATTTCATATAATTAATATAGGCTAACAGAAAAGTTTATTTTGTGTCAAATGGAGAAAAAAAGATAAGTGTTGAATAAGAACAAGGAATGAAAAAAAGAAACTTGTAAGAAATGTTGAGGCCAGGTGCTGGTGGCTCACACCTTTAATCCTAGCTACTTGGGAGCAAGATCAGGAGGCTTCCAGTCTGAGGCCAACCCAGGCAAATAGTTCAAAAGACTCCATCTCCAAAATAACCAGAGCAGAGTGGACTGCAGGTGTGGCTCAGGCAGTGGAATGCCTGCTTTGCAAGTGTGGAACCTTGAGTTTGAAACCCAGTCCCACCAAAAAAAAAAAACTATATGAACTAGTCATGTTTGCTGTAATTTTGTAGATTGAGACAACTAGAATTAGAAACATTCATCCAGCTGGGGGTGTAGGTCAGTGGTAGCGCACTTGCATGTGTAAGGCTAAGGTTCATCCCCAGCACTGAAGGAAAAAAAAAACCTGCCTGCTGGGTACCTGTGGTTTAGGCCTGTAATCCTAGCTACTCAGGAGGATCATGATTCAAAGCCAGTGCAGGCAAATAGTTTTCGAGACTCTATCTCAAACAAATCTGTCACAAAAAAGGGCTGGTGGAGTAGCCCTGAGTTTAAACCCCAGGACTGCAAACAAAACAAAACTGCTGGAAATAATATACAGTATTGCCTACAGCCACTCAGTACACCAGAGGTGAGACTTGCATCCAGGTCTTTTGATTTGCATTCAAATCATTTGTTTTCTCGTCCTGTGGATCCCAACCCTAGAACAAGCTTCACTGAGCTACATCCCTAAGCCTTAAGTTAGATTTTAAGGCCTAGCTCAACTAACTTACACAAACTAGTGTAACTCCTCTAAGGCAAAAAATAACATTAAAAAAAGAAAAGGTAACATTTGGCCCCTTAGCCAAACTTTCAATTCGCCAGCTCAACACAACATTTGTCCACAATTCTAAGTCAATTCCAAGACCCTATTACACAAAGGCCTTTAGGGACATTGATAAAAGCTCAAAGAAGTCGTTGACCTCAGTTGGATAGAGAAGACACCAGATGGCTCTTTTCAAAATTTAACTCTTGAACACTTTGAATTGTAATGCTGTTGATGGGCGGTGTGAGCACTGAGATGATTCAAATGCCCAGAAACAAAATGACCTCAAAGATGAAGTACAAAATGCCACAGGGGTAGTACAAGTGTACAGTATGTGGGAACCCAAGTTCAGTCCCCAGCATCATAAGAAAACAAGAAGAAAAATATTCCTCAACTTTGTGAAAATGGTACCTCAAGGAAATTTGGGGGTCTTTTGTTTTTGGTGGAACTGGGGTTTAAACTCAGGTCTTCACATTTGCAAAGCAGGCACTCTACCACTTGAACCACATCTGCAGTCCATTTTGCTCTGATTATTGTTTTAGAGATTCGGGGAGGGCTGGGGCGGCGGAGGGGGGGGGGAGTCTCACAAACTATTTCCCTGGGCTGTTCTCTAACTGGGATCCTCCCGATATCAATCTCCCAAGTAGCTAAGATTACAGACAGGAGCCAGAGGCGACCAGCTAAAGTAGTTCTATTTTGACATTGTGTTTAATTTTTCTTTCATAATGTGATGAAAGTAGATGTAAATGTTGAATATCATAAATGTAAGTTAAAGCCCTAAAATAATCTACGTGACATGACCAGTAACCACAGACAAACCGTACAGGTCACAAGATTCACTTAGGATCCGAAACCATCACAGGTGGTTCTTAAAATCAGACATATTTGGAAACTCCTAGGGAAGTGCTTTCACAAGCCAGCAGCAGCAGCTGCATCACCAGGGAATTTAATAGAAATGCAGATTCTCAGGCCACATATAAGCAATCAATTTTTGTTTGTTTTTTTGAGACAAGGTCTCCCCATGTAGCCCAGGCTGGCCTCAAACCCAGGATCTTCCTGCCTCAGCCTCCCAAGTGCTGGGACTACAGGCACGTGCCAGTATATATTAACATTTTAGAACGCAGCATTCCATAGAGTACAATTTAGGAAATGTTACACTGGTTATTTCGTTAAAGTCATTTTTATTTACATGTAACAGAAACCAGTACTGGCTGGCTTCAGGAGGGAAAAAAAGAGGAATTTGTTGGACTAGGGGCTCTATTGTCTCAGGGAAGCTTGAGACTTGAACAAACCAGACTCAGGACAGGCAGAGACCAGAGTAACTCTATGAACCAAAAGAGCAAATCTGTTCAAGCAGCTGTGTCAATCACTGGGGTGCTTCCTGATTTTTAATGAGTCCTACGGAATTTTATACAATGAGTCCTTTAACAATTGTACAATTTATATATAAAGCACATTACAATTATTTATAATTAAATCTCATGATCATTTTGGCAAGTAGATTCTTTTCATTAACTTTCCTTAGTTTTTTCTTTTTTTTGGTGGTGCTGGGGATCAAACCCAGCATACCATGCATGCACTCTGCAACTGAGCTATACCCCAGCCCGAGTTTAATTTTATAGTCAAAGTAAGTGAAAGGGAATTGTGAACTCACTTTAAAGGTCCTACGCTCAGGTTTGTGCTAAGAAGTTCTTTACTTCAGAACTTGTGTTCTCAGAGCCTTTGGTTGCAATAAAAGAGGACATGTGGTGGCATAGCTTGCCCGTTAGCTCCCTCTTCCATGTGGATGAGGTTAGAGGGGAGAGTAAGGAAGGCACAGATTTGAAGGCACAGATTCCCAGCACAGATTCCGTGTTGCCATTTGCATTTTGGTTGTGATGTGAACCCACCAACATGTCTGTCTATGCCTGCCATCATAATGCAAACTCAGGTTTGCAACACAACCTAGCTGGAGATTTTCACAGCAGTTAAATCTAAAGTCATAGGTTTGAAACCCAGTCTGCACATCGAAATACCTGAGGATCTTTAAATATAAAAATATCAGAAGTTAAAAAAAAAATCTCAGGGATTGAGGGTAGATGTAGTTCAGTGGTAGAGTGTATTTGGCCCTGAAAGGAACACAGGAACAGGGAGAAAGAGAGGTAGAAGAGGTGGGAGGATGGAAGAAAGGAAAGAAAAACTCCTATACAACCTTGTTACCCCCACCTTCTTGTCACCAGTTAAATCTGTATATGTTGTGGGCCCGTTATGCATTTATAATTATCATTTTTATGCATTTGTCTTTTAAATCATAGGAATCATAAAGAGCAGGTAAAAACAAAAATTAGACCAGGTGAGAGTGGCTCACACCTTAATCCTAGCTACTCAGGAGGCAGAGATCAGGAGAACCAAGGTTCAAGGCTGGCCTAGGCAAATAGTTCTCAAGACCCTATCTCAAAAAAACCCTTCACAAAAAAGGGCCGGTGGAGTGGCTCAAGGTACCCTGAGTTCAAATCCAGTACCAAAAAAAAAAAAAATGAGGGCTGGCTGTGTTGCTCAGTGGCCATGCTTCAGGTGTTAGATCACTAGTGTGAAGAAAACAAACATCGTTTACTACCTGCATGAAGGGGGAAAAAAATCAAAGAGCTGGGCACTGGTGTCTCATGCCTATAATCCTAAATATTCAGGAGGCAGAGATCAGGAGGACCATGGTTCGAAGTCAGCCCCAGGCAACTAGTTCAGGAGACCCTATCTCAAAAAAGAGCTGGTAGAATGGATTGAGCCATAGAGTGCCTACCTGCCAAGCATGAGGCTCTGAGTTCAAACCCCAGTGCTACAAAAAAAGAAAAAACAAGGGGGCTGGGATTATGGCTCAGGGATAGAACATTTGCCTTGTTAATGTGTGAGGCCTTGGGTTTGATCCCCCAGCACCATAAAAACAAACAAACAAAAAGAATAAAAGCTACAATAATACTGCCTTTTTTTTTTCCCAGTCAAGTGAAGAAGTGGAATGAAGAAGGAACAAAGAAGTCTGTAATTGATTGTAATCAATTAGTTATAGATACCATTGTACTCAGGCCATCAATGTTTTTATATATTTTATTATGTTATATTTTATATTGTATTTTTAAGAAAAAATTTTGGCAGTATTGGAAGATTGAACTCAGGGCCTCACATTTGCTAGGCAGGCGCTCTACCACTTGAGCCTTCCACCAGTACATGTTGGGTATTTTTGGTATAGGGTCTTGTGAACTATTTGCCAGGGCTGGATTTGAACCGAAATCCTCCTGATGACTGCCTCCTAAGTAGCTAAGATTACAGGCATGAGCCATGGTGCCTAGCTGTATTTTCACATTTTTATAGATGTTATATTTACCTATGTAGTTATCTTTCCCAATATTGTTTATTTCTTTGGAAGGCTTTGAATTGCTTTCTAATGTTCTTTCATTTCAGCTTGTGGAACTCTTGTTGGCATTTTTATTATTGTTTTATTTTATTTATTTTTGACAGGACCTAGGTTTAAACACAAGACTTCATGTTTGCAAAGCAGGCACTTTACTGTTTGGGCTACACCTCCATTTTGCTCTGTTTTGTTTTTTGGGTTTTTTTTTTTTTGTGGTACAGGGGTTTGAATTCAGGGCTACATGCTTGCTAGGCAGGCACTCTACTGCTTGAGCCACTCCATCAGCCCTACTCTGGTTATTTTGGAGATGAAGAACTATATTTGCCCAGATTGGCCTGGAACCCATGATCCTCCCAATCTCAGCCTCCCAAGTAGGTAGGATTATATGTCCAGCTTTGTTTTGTTTTTTTGAGACAGGGTCTCACCATGCAGCCCAGGCTGGCCTGAACTTAAGATTCTCTTGCCTCTCCCTCCAGGCATGGGCCCCTGATGCCTAGCTCTGAGGTTTCTTTTTCTTTTTTTCAGTACTGGGGTTTGAACTCAGGGTCTACACCTTGAACCACCTGACCAGCCCTTTTTTGTGAAGGGTTTGTTCGAGATAGGGTCTCAAGAACTATTTGCCAGGGCTGGCTTTGAACCATGATCCTCCT